TATATATATATACATATTTGAATCGTAATATATGTATTTGTAGAAAATAAACGACAGTACAGCGAATCAATGTGATAACTTATTGACCAGCGATATATATTATAAAATTTTAATTCCTTCCATTGGAAAGGTGGATCGATTAACACATGGTTGTACAGAATAAATTATATCTTTCTATGTATCATGTGTTTTATTGTTATATATATATCCCAGTTCTCCTAATATAATCTATTGATGTGAATCAACAAACTCAATAATTCAATGTTTTTATATAATGAGAGAGATAAAAAAATCAGTTTTAAAGCCATATATACAGGATGTATCTGAAATGATGCACTAAACTTTAGGAGCATATTCTAGAGGTCAAAATAAAATGTATTGAAATAGTTTAGATTATTTGAGTTTATAGATACTTGTGAATTATTAACAAATGTTATATATTATTTTTTATATACAAATTACAGTTATCTACATATATATATATGCATCACTTTACTATATTGGTGATATCATTACTCGGTTTTTAATAGTTTAACCATTCGTAGTTTTGATATTAATCTTTTGTATACACCATTTCATTCTGGCTCTTTTCAGTTTCGATGTACAGCTGTTCCTTCGGGAACGACGCCACTTTGAACACTACCGGGATTACATTCAAGATAGGATTCTGTTTTTGCAGACATCGTATCCAGCACAACAGAGAATCTTTCGTAGATGTACCTGTAGCACACATCGCAAAGTATGTGCCATCATCTTGTTCATGGACTGTAGAAGCAGGGATTATTTCCCTTTTATCCCAAAAAGGGATTCTAATATTTGAAACATCTATAAAAAAAGAAATGTGCAATAATATTTTCCTAGTAGAAAGTCATGCTTAGATACTTGAACACTTGTATACAATTAATATAATTATGTAATATAACGATCTATATAAAATCAATAAAAAATTATTTATATAAATTTGATCTATCACTATATTAATAGACAATTTAATTAACAAGTAGTTATTTACCATCAATATCTTCATACTCCTTCTTCTTTCTCATCTCTCCTCTGAGCACAAAATAGTCTATACATTGATCTGCAACCCAAACTGTATATGGTCCTTCAACAAAAATTGGACTGCTAGGAGATTGCGTTTGCAATAATCTCTCTTGTAAGCTGCTCATGGCGGATACAATCCACGTGTCCTCAACGGCATCTTGTGCATCCTTGGTCTCAAACTCCACAATTTTAGTCTGCACATCTACACTAGATATCTTACTCATCGCCAATCTCGCAAGTACTCGTGGATCCTTTGGTGCTGGTCTAGGACAAGGCCAGGGATTCAAGTTGGCGAATTTGGGCATCCAGTACATCATTCTCCAAAACTTCTTCAGTGGGGCACCGTGTTTCCCAAAGATATTCAGCAGCATGTCCTGCATCTCCACGTCTGGCATCACGCAATTTTTCTCCATTTTGCACAGCAAGTCAATGGCTATGTACTGCTGTTTAGGATAATGCATTACCATCGTTTGGAAAAAGTTGGTGGGGATAAATTTGCCCTTGGGAAGCACATCCAACAGAGTCTTGTACACGCCTAGATCTCGATTCACGCCAAACTCGTCCATGTATTTGAGAGCGACCTGAATAAATTCCACGTGACCGCGTCTGAGATCATTGTTGCTCTTATATTGCCGGAGTATTTCCAGATAAGCTTCCTTTTCCTTGCTCTCGGCGTTCGCAAAGGCCTGGAGCACGAGAGCCGACGGCTTGTCATCCTTTTTGTCATCTTTACCCTGGAATCCGCTGGTATAAACGCCGCGAGTGTAACTCGCTCGACCTGACGCAGGACCTGTAATTTTACGCGGTGGTCGTCTCAACAATGCGGGATCCTTACTCCATGTAAGGACGCTCCTCATAATCCGCGAGAGCATGTTGATCGATCGTATCCCTTCAAATTGTGCGACACATTATCCTTATACGATTGATTTACTCTCATCCGCGAAATTATGTTCCATAGCACCGATAAGATATTATTAAAGACCAGTGGTCTTATGGGATTTATATGACTGGAAGAAAAAACTCGCTGCGCATTATTTTAATTTATCCAGTTATTGTTTTATTATCGAAAATGTATAGATATTTCATGTAACTGCCTCAAGAACAACAAAATAAACATTTTATTGTAAAATTACTGTTTTATTATCGACAATACAAAGATTTACTGGTAATTGTTCAGTTTAGCGACCCCATTTCAAATATCGATAAGATTATGCTCATTCGGCGCGTTTTTGCATAAAACGAAAGAGTAACAGAAAAAAGTGTCGCTCTACTCCGCGCAGCAAGATATTAATAGTTAAAGTTGACGACTATTTAGGTTACAAAACCTGTCATACCGACGAAATACAGCGACATAAAGCCCGAATCACACTAGCGGCTCGCGGCTGCGATTGCGATTGCCTCAGCCAATCAGAAAGCACCAATTGCAAGTATGATTAGAGCGTAGCGAATCACAATCGCAATCGCAATCGCAGCCGCGAGCCGCTAGTGTGATTCGGGCTTAAGTATGCTCAAAGAGTAAAGGCCCTTGTACAATGCTAGACAATAGCAATAGCGATAGACGATATCCAATGAGAGCTCTGCTTTTTCGGAAAAGCAAAGCTCTCATTGGATATCGCCTAGCGCTATCGCTATCGCTTAGCATTATGCAAGGGCCTTAAAGAATGGGCGCGTTCAGGAGACACAACCGTTGAGCATTGCCTTGGGCGTTTTCCAGCAAGGTACTGTGACGTCCCGTCATTTTTCAAAACCATATTTCAACTAATAATTAAATATCGCATCTATTTCTGCATTATGCCTATGGAATATAATACAATTATTTAACCATTTGCCCTTATTTCCATTATTAATCAATTTTACTAATTGCTTATTGTTCTAGTTCCATATGATTACCCAGTAAACACAGTTTGTAGCAGTTATATAAAATGTAAGTAACAACCCAGACAGCACAAGGATGTCCTTAGGACGTCCAAAGGGCATCCAGGACATACATGTAGGATATCCTGAGGATATCCTATTTTAATCCTCGGATCTCCTCTGGATGTCCTGAGAATATTATTTAACTTCGAAAACATTAACATAACAATTACATTACTGTGTTTACTGGGTATTTAACGTATTAGGTGTACAACTTTGCTTCCGCCGTTTTCCTAATGATGGCTTTAGCGGTAAGTAGTGGTCGAAATAAATAGATCATAGACGTCATGCAATAAACTTGGGCATCTGTCAACATAACCCCATAGAAACATTAGTCGATTCGTGTCTGCATTATAAAGTTATTCTTGATTGAAAATGTCAGTTTACGAGCCAAATTCTCGTCATTTGCGGGTGGTTTTAATTTTCTGCTTCAATATGAAGAAATCTGTGGCTGAGGCTTATCGAATGCTCTCAAATATTTATGGTGAGGCCGCTATTAGTGAAAAAACGTGCGAGTGGTTTCAACGCTTCAAGAACGGTGATTTTCACGTCGAAGACCGGCAAAGCGGTGGAAGAGAGAAGGTTTTCGAAGATGCAGAATTGGAGGCATTACTTAATGAAGACTCGAGTCAAAGTCAAGAAGAATTGGCACGATCATTGGGAGTGACTCAACAAGCAATTTCAAAACGCCTCAAAGACATGGGAATGATTCAGAAGCAAGGAAATTGGGTGCCGTACGAGTTGAAACCGAGAGATGTTAAACGGCGTTTGTTTGCTTGTGAACAGTTGCTCGAAAAGCAAAGACGGAAGGGATTTCTGAATCGCATTGTGACTGGGGACGA